CGTTAGTTAGTACGTACGTACGTAGTAGTAGTAGTACGTACGTACTACGTATATATATATATATATATATATATATATATATATATATATATATATGTGTGTATATAGATATATCGACAGCGAAGTGATGACAACTAAGGGAGTAATGCATTCCTCCTCATTTACACCTTTTCGCTGTTATGTTCGCCTCCATCTTGTCGTTTTCATGTCACAGACTGGCCTTCATACTCTAAACAAAACGCGCGTGATGGGGGGGGGGGTAAACAACTCAGAGATCGTAAATTAATAAATTACTGGCCATCGAAAGCTTTGTAGTCTGGCCTGATATGCCTGCTACAATAATCTAGTGGTTGCAGTGCGGATTGTTTTCAGCTATGGTTTCCGTACTGCAGCTTCTGAATTCGCAATAATGCCTTTCTCCGCTACCAGATCACTTGGCAGAAAATGAATACAAACTTCCATTAGATACCATCAGTAGTGTATAACATTGGTCTCGTTAGTGTATGTGCATGTCGTGTACATGAACGCCTCCAACACGCACGTGCGTGCTACCCCTGGTAACTCTCACGGCGCCTCCCTTCTCCATATGTATCGTCTCGATCTCGTACTGAAACTGGGTTTCCTCTCTTCGATCTCTTTGACATTGGCGTTACTTGTGTTTGCGCAGGCGTACGCACCTTTTGTTCTGTGTGAGAATTAATCGTGTTTTATATGTGGACCGAGGTTCAGGTAGCTATCAGCCTTATCCGATCGGGATTAATTACCATATGTGTAGCCAATATACGTAAGATAGGTAGTGGGTGATACGGGTGTGACGAATGAGGGAGGAGTGAAATATTTGCATGCTCTACAGATATACTATGTACTATGCTCTACTATGTACTATGTACTATGTACTATGCTATACTATGTATACCTGCACACCTGCTTACGGCTTCGTACGCTTCGCTGCTTCGCGGGCGCCGTGATTTCGGATTTCCAGTTCTCACTGCGCCCAGAGCCGCATGCAAGCCCAGCCCACATCGGCTACACTGGTTGGTTGGCCAATGTGTATCAGTAGGAGCCCGCTGCACTGCATTCTGACACCAGCCAGTCTTCAGGTGCATTCACCCGTCCAACTCAGTCAGTAGTTCAGTGGTTGTTCGATCGCACGCACACGACTGTCCTACGGTGCAGTGGCTTACCAACTACACACGGAAAGCACTTTCACTTGCACAGGCCCGCCACGGCAGCGCGTAGCTACCTGTACTACCTGTAGAGCGGCGACGGCTGTTCGCAGACAAACGCACAGGTAGCGTATACCGATGATGAGAGAGCGAGAACCGCGCCGATAACGGTACACGGGATGCGGTGCACCTGCTGAGAGCACGAATATCATCTACCTTCAAGGATTCCCGGAATCCTGTTAGTGCGCCATAGACGATACACCGATATCGGACGTTCGTCAACGGTAACTCTTTCCGACACCGTGCCATATATACGCATATATATATATATTTTTTTATATAAATATAACATTTATATATTCATATAATATATTAGTAGACGTGTGTTGAAGCGGCACCGGAGACGTCTAGTTTGGAGATAGTTGACGTGAGACCGCCAGTATGGTTGTGCCTGTGGTATCTCACATTTTCTACTCGGGCGGTTCGACGTACTATGTGCCACCCGAGGGGACACTCACCGCCGTACCGGTCATCCCACAGGGAGCGTTGGCACCCATGGGTCAGCTGCCGAGTCCCTTTCCGCCGTCGGCGGGAGCTGTATGCATGTCGGCTTCAGGGTATGTGTGACTTCCGGGATTTCTTTTTCTCGGGTTATCACTTCACGTTCACGATGTCTTTCGCGTTCATAGAGCATAGTTAGTTTCGTGTTCGTTGTTCATAGTTAGTTTTGTGTTCATAGGTCATAGTTAGTTTCGTCTTCATAGTTCATAGTTTTCGTTTTCATGGCTCATATAGTCTTGCTCACCTCGTCGGTGTTGTTATGCTTGTTTGTGTTCACACATGGTGTGTAGAGAATAAGGTGTTTTGAACTGGCCCGTACATGCATTGTCAGATGATTTGATATTTCAGCTTACCCGCACATAGGTATCTCTTTGTAGTTTCACTCGGATTATCAACGTTTCGCCTCGAAATGCGTCGTTAACGTACAGCGTACGTGTTTCTGCTAAACAGGCAAACGTTTCATACATGACAGAATTTTATCGCGAATTTCGGCGTGTCCGAAAGAGCGATACTGCGTTACACCTCATACTCCGTATACTTTTCGGCGCATTCTAATCACACTATGTGTGCGCCTGCTGTGTGAAAAGTGAGAAATGCGTGATGTAGTAACTCTGAACGGTGTTGGCTCCGATCTAGAATTTGTGTTTGCTCTCGGGTACGATCTGATGGGGAAAGGTGATATGCAATACTCGGTCTCGGATCAGCAGTGTATATGGGATTCGGGCGCGAGTATCTCTCTCCATGACCTGTGCCATAATATGTATGCAGTCTATGAAATTAAACACAATATATATATATATATATATATAGAGAGAGAGAGAGAGAGAGAGAGAGAGAGAGAGAGAGAGAGAGAGAGAGAGAGAGAGAGAGAGAGAGAGAGAGAGAGAGAGAGAGAGAGAGAGAGAGAGAGTTAATCGCGACTAGTCACAGACAGGTTTGAATGCTGACTGCATTAACTGTGCGTACAGTAAATAAGAGTACCGGACAACAGCCGTGATTTCAGGTGTAATAATGTGTATTTCGCGGTGTGTCATTCACTGCCACTGCCGCCGGTGTTTGTTGGCCGTTGCGGGGTGCCTAGCCACTGGCGCATTGGAGAGACGGGTGACTAGTTGGAGAGTTGTTTTGGTATAGTGACCTCTGCGGTATGGAGTACTTGGAACTAGCTGGTAGCACTTACTTGACCGCAGAGGAAGATTGCCTTGTTCAACAACCCGTACGGAACTCTAAGATCACCAATTTAGATATCGAATTATATTTTTGTGCAGATTTTACGAGGTGGGTGCCATTGTTCGCTTGCGCGTGCGCGCGTGTGTGACGAAACCTTGTATTGGTATTGTTCTTATCACGATCCTGGCAGCCATGTTTTTGGCATCCATTGTTTTTCACCTCGCTGAAGCATCTCATAAAACCTTCATTTTATGGCTACAAATTACTAGCCAAGGCGAGCTAGGACGAAGAACGTTTTTTGTCACAGACTAAAAACGCGTTGGAACATCTAGTTATGCGTGTGGGTGTCTATTCTGGGGTATCATACTTGAGATGGAAATCAAGCTTTATTCGTTGCTGATTGAGATGACATGTTTGAATAAATCATCGATATCATCTAGCAGTATTTTCATTCACACCGTAATGATCACTGTTGCGTAAAATCAACATAGAAATTACAATTCCGAAAACATTAAATAACTATCATTTCATGCGGCCGTTTCTTGTTAATAACAGTAGTATTGACCGCGTGTTCTTTAGTGAGTTGATCAAATCGTGCGCGTTGGTCAGCTGTTTATATTGAATACGTGCTTTCACTGCAACAACGTGCGGTGTTATGCGAGTGACATGTTCTATACCAACTAAACTCGTGTTTTATTTGGTACGCGTCGCGTGGTAACTCGATTAGATCCGCGTGCATAGTACTTTACACTGAAGTTTGACGTACTTACGTTTAGCAAGATTGCAACTGCACGCGCACTGTGCTATCGGGTCCGGATGGCAACACCCATAATTGCTAGCAGATTTGCATGCAAAATATACGTCTATTATGGGCCTTGTTCCCCCCTCCCATCCCCCATTGTTATGGCCAGTCGCGTCATTATTCTTCGCACGAAAGCTACCATTCTATTGGTGCATCTATTTAGCCAGGCAATCCGTTTGGGTTGCCCATCCTTTCTCTTATCTGGGCCACTCCTAATTGTAAATTTATTCTATCACTGGTTGGGTGGCTGTTGCTGCTTGCGCGTGCGTCCTTGACTGCTTGAATAGAATCACAATGTTTGCCACAATCTTGCAGCATCAATCAAACGCAATTGATACTCGATTGTATACTAATGATGTCAATCGTATAGATTCCAATGCTGATATGATCGATATCAGCTTCCGTGATGTCATCAGTTTCTGAGATGATGTCATCGACCGCGATCCTGATGACGTGACGCCATGACGTTGGCTGTTATTTTACGTGAATGCAGTGGCTCAATACAATGACTGTTTAACATGATTAATGTGACAGATGTCCTCGCATTGTCAGATGTTGTAGACTTTTCATTCTAAATACGCCGAGACATAACCAGTTATGACTAGGAAACACCACGCCACGGTCTTGGCTGCCCGCAGTGTTTATCGTATATGGCGCATATAAATATATATTATGGCTTTACCTTCACATAACTACAGCTTTACTTAAACATCCTAAACAAAATTTGTTGCATAGTATCTGTATTGTCTGAATAATCACGGATTCATTGCGCAATAACCTTGATATGATTTTTATTTGATTCGAATAATGGAATTTAAGACAGAGAAAGATCTGAACCTGCATGAGGCCAAACAAGATCAGTGCTTTTGGCTGTATAGTAGTATCTTTATTCCACTCGCGTCTCGGGGCACGCAGCATTGATGTATGAGAGTGTGATGACGGCCTAATGGAATCAATAAACGATAATTGCGGTTTATGAGTCCTAAATATTTTTTATCGTCAGCGTTGAATGACGCTTAACGACGTGTTAGCGTGTCTGATATGCTCTAAATCTCGTACCAAGCTGATATCAGATATACGACGCTTGTTACCTCACCGCAATACCGCCATATAATTGTCGCTGTCACCTCATGTATAACGAACTGGAATGCAGTAGGTCGGCACGAAAACAACAGAAGGACTCTATTTCAGAATCTGCGATGCGTTTCACTGAAACATTTAATTGCATGGTTTGAGGAGGTAGGTGGAATTCGAGCGCGAAAATTATGGACATTTTACGCAAACCACGACAAACACGCTGTTTCGCTGCGTGGATGTGGTCAGGTAAGTATATGGTAGGAGAAGCGCACTTTCTTACAGATGCGTTGAAGGTACAGCTAGGTTAGGATGCATCTCCGTGTCTCCGCACATACGATGCCTTTCCCCTGCTGCCTTACTTACGAATGACTCAAATGTCTGCTAAGCGAATCTTCACATTGGGTTGACCCGCCCTCTGTAAATATAGTAACCCGGACCTGGGATGATGTGAATTGCTCCGGGCAGAATGCAAGCGAAAAATGGTGATTCGTGTGCAATTGACTGACTATTTTACACATCGTAGAACACGCTTGCGAGAGTCGCTCCTTGCAATCCACGTGTTCCTGCACGGGTTCGTTATGCAGCCAGACATCAGATCCGCCATGCGTCAGATCCGCCTTGCTCTGACCTCTAAGTCAGATTCCGATCTCTAATCCAGATCCCGTCTGTTACGGTGGTTATGCCGTGGCAGCAACATCGATATGATCGCGTCTACCATGAAATCTTTCATTGCTTTCTTCGTCGCGTGGCTCGTGAAATCAATCCTCCATGTCATTGCAAGTATATATATATATATATATTTATTTTTTTTTTTTAAATTTTTTAATTTTATTTATTTATTTATATATATATATATTACACGCACGCACGCACGAACGCACGCACGCACGCACACACACAAACACACACACACACACACACACACACACACAACACACACACACACACGCACACTATGCACGCACAATGTATGGTTATTATAAGTCTACGAGCTGGCCACATCACCATTTCCCGTGTACTGGTCAGAAGCATTCTACTACAGCTTGTTTGAATAGACGATCATTAGCATGCAAGATCCCGCAGCAAGGGAAAAGACTGCCGTGGTGACCAGGTGACCACGCTCCGCGCTAGAGTCGGCCGCAGCCGCATGTGCTTGAATTCGGACCATACGCTGCTTACTACGCATAATCTAGCAGATCAGATCTCGCCCGCCTTTCAGAGTGTGAGGTCGGCCGAGGCGCCCGTGAAAGCACGTCATTCACGGCGGCATGCGCGATCACAGAGGGATACTGTGATCGCACCGTCATCAGCTGCTGTCCGCGGTATATAGGCGCACCGCTTTGAGCCGGCGGAGAATGCGCGCCATTCATGGTCGTTGCTTGCAGTGACGCGACGCTTAGCGACTGACCTGCCACGTTAACTTTCGCACTTGTTCGACTTCGCACGTCATTGCCCTTCGCGACATTGTCTGGCGTGAAATGAAAATCGGGGCGAAAGTAGACAGGTGTATATAGATGCTTTTTTTTTAATCTAACGGATGGTCTATTGGCGGCGTCGTTTCACGATATTTGTTTAAGTAGGGGGGGGGGGCGGTAAAAGTTTAGTTTATTTAGTTGGTATTATAGTGCCAGATGAGATTTATCTATCAATATTGAGCTAAAGAGGGGAGCTACGGGGCGTGGCAACCACGAGCTCGCTCGCGCTGCCTTTACACACATCCGGCGTGTCGTGCATCGAATGATGGCGAGAACGCTGGCTGTAAAATATACAACGTTGCGTGTGCCAGGGTGACTCGGTCACACGGATGGGGTTACAGTGAAACGTAAGAACGCGAAAAGAACCCTGAATTGTAAGCAGGATAGGCTGGGCGACAGCTCGCGATGGAAATCTAGAATGATCCCGCATCGGAAGCAGTGAAGGACGAGAAGCTTTCGGTGGCTTTTTAACGGGCATCAAACTAACAAAACTGCTGCGCCTGCCGCAGTTGTAAGTAATTGTCGCAGACGTCGCGCACATCGTCACGCATTGCATCACGCGTACATTGCATCACACATGCATTGCATCACACATCACGCATACATTGCATCACGCGTACATTGCATCACGCGTACATTGCATCACGCGTACATTGCATCACGCGTACATTGCATCACGCGTACATTGCATCACGCATCACGCGTACATTGCATCACGCATCACGCATCACGCGTACATCGTTTTACGCAATGTCGTATACGCGACTATGCACTAGACGCGTTCCCTCACACGTTAACGCATAACATACCGCACCCGTATAGCATTCCGTACTTATAGCCCGGACGTTACTTGGCCGTCGTCATCGTCATCGTTGTCGTCGGTGGTCGTTACTCAGCCGTCGTCATCGTCGTCGTCGACATCGGTCGTTACTCGGCCGTCGTCGTCGTCGTCGGTCGTTACTCGGCCGTCGTCGTCGTCATCGTCGGTCGTTACTCGGTCGTCGTCGTCATCATCGTCGGTCGTTACTCGGCCGTCTTCATCATCATCGTCGTCGTCGTCGGTCGTAACTCGGCCGTCGTCGTCGTCGTTGTCGGTCGTTACTCAGCCGTCGTCATCGTCGTCATCGTCGTCGTCGTCGGTAGCTACTTGGCCGTCGTGTAGGAAAGCGCCGGCTTCTCCACACTTATTGTTTACATTTATAATTTCCCATGAGTCTGCATGAGCTTCGCCGCATGGCGTAAACGACCAATATAAATCTCGCCATATTCGCCGGGTGATATATTGGTGTCCCCCGCCACCAGCTACCTGCGTCATCCCTTAGGGATCGGATTTGTTGACGCCAAGCGCGCAGGTAGAGAACGACTCGGCTCGGATCCTTTGAATCCGATAGTCCGGTTGTTGTCCCGCTCCGATCGTGCCTAGTTATTCTCACACATAGTCCAGCGATAATTCTTCGTCTATCTTCTACCTTCCACCTTCACCCCGGCCGAGCGTCTCCGTGAACCTCCTCGCTAAGGTACGAAATCTACTAAGGTCGGTCATTACTCTGGCGGCGTCGTCGTCGTCGGTCGTGACTCTGGCGTCACCGTCGGTTGTTACTCGGTCGTCTCGGCCTGTGAGAGTAATCATTACGTGAACAGCGAGAAGTAGTGAGCAGCAGCGAGCATCCAAGAACTCCGGCGGCTGACGCACGAGTTTAGTAACGGGTTGTGACCGCCCTCCGGCTGTCTGTGATGAAACGCACATCTACCTGCTAGATGCCCGACGCGTGGTCGAGAATTTGTCTCGCTGATTTTCGACAGCATTTGCCAAAACTCGGAACCCGTTGTCGTTTGAGAGGCCTCCCGCGCATCAGAGGCCACAATGCCGCTTGTCAAAATGTGATTTGCCCTGTCGCTCGGTCTGCGACGACGCGACATGGGTCTCTCGTTAACGGGTGATTACCCTCCTGCCTCGCTCATGAGGGGTGTCGCACGACAACTGCTGTAATGTGGCTCCCCATCCGGCCACCCTCGGTGCACCTCCGTACACGCTCTGTCATTTCAGTGTGCTCGCAAGCAGTGTAATGTGTTGAAAGTGAGATATAGTCGCATGCGCCCCATCTGTCATCGCTGCAGTAGCTGCAGGCGACACGAGTGTACTGTATTGGTACATATACCTGCAGGTTGTAGGTATACCTGCAGGTTGTGTTGCGGGCAATGTGCTGACTAATAGCGAATGGCGCGTGCTCACTTTCTGCCGCATGAGTTTTTTTTCTTTTCTCGTATCTCCGCATCTCTACGCCTGTCTGTCTTTCTCATTTTTTCTCACCCATCGCTCGCTTTCTCGCTCGCTCTCTCGCTCGTTCTCTCGCTCTCTCGCTCTCTCGCTCTCTCGCTCTCTCTCTCTCTCTCTCTCTCTCTCTCTCTTTTGCTGGCTCGTTTTCTCTCTCTCTCGCGCGCGCGCTCTCTCGCTCTCTCACACCTGCTGCCTCGTTTTCTCTCTCGTTCGCTCTCTCTCCGTCTCTCTCGCTCGCTCGTTCCATCTCTCTCTCTCTCTCTCTCTCTCTCTCTCTCTCTCTCTCTCTCTCTCTCT